TATGTGTTTGAAGTGCGTTTCACCATTAATGACCTGGGGATCACACTATATCATTGCCTGATCATGATGTCTCAGACATACAGTACAGATCTTTAAACAACAGTCGATTAGCATATCAACTGTGCATTACCTCCTCCAATTAGGTGGTTACTTTTAAACTCGGTTCTAATACACCACAGAGATCCCCAGTCATGTTGCACAGCTTTCCAGTTCTTTTCAAACCACTTTCAATGCCGGTATGGAGAGGAAAGGACTAGATTAGCACACTGATGCAGCTAATTAGTGAAATTAAGTGCATAAGTGAAGGAAAGCATGTTTATACACTGTCCAGGCAGGACTAGAGCAGGGGGGGGGTCTGGACGAATGGGGAAAAGAGACAAAAAAAATATTTTATTTGAATTTCTTTTAACAGATTTCTCTACATGCATATCAAAGTAGTTTCTCCTGCTTTTGAGACGATTTTCTTACCTGTTTTGCACTTGACTGTCAGAACCGCACCTCATCACCCACCTGGAGATATTAAAGGCAGCCCCTTGTCTTTCCGGGCGCTAACAGGCCGTTTGTACGCAGCTTTTCCAGGAAGCCGCTCCGACACAAAGCGGCAGCACTCAGAGAAGAGGACGGCGTGCACCGGCGCAGGCGGTGGTGGTGGCGTGTGATGGGTAACGCGACCCGTGTTCTGGGAAAGGGGGGCCTATTGTGTAGCTGCCCACGACAACTTCCCTCTCTTATCACCAGCTTGCATCATGGGAAACGGCTGAGAGCAGCACAGGCCCAGAATAACTATGGTGGCCATGTGGCTGCATTTTTATCGACCGCGGCTCGTAACGCTTTACAATCCCATGTCCCAATTGCCGTGTGTTCGCCAAATTTTTTTTCCCACTCAGCTAAAAAAGACTACCTACTCTCAACCCCCCCCCCCCCACCCCCCAACAAGTAACTCCAAGTGCTGGCCACTGCTCCTTCAGCAGGGACACAAAATGCACGGACAGCGACTAAACATGCAGGTATACAGGAGGAAAGTGGGATAGATTGGGGGGGGGTTTGTACCAGAATGTGTATAATCAGCAGGACGACAAACAGCATAAACAGCCCAACAAGGGGATCCAATATGCTGAAGAAATTCTTTGTAATCATTCAAGTTCCAAGTCAACATCAAAGACCACGAAGGTCACGAAAGTCCATGAAGGGCAAATTCTCCATAGTCATTACAGAATTCGAAATATTGCAAGCTTGCGCCCGACCTGACTATTTATAAGAGTTTGACATACTCCCCAGTTCTCCAAGCCTCTGAACTGTTGCACAACAATATACTGTATGAGTTCCTCAGTTACAGTTCCAAAGTGTGTCTCTGCTTTAGAGGTACTGATCTCCAGTTCAGTAAACTTCAGGTACAGAGTGCCACCACACCAACCACACCCACCACACGACAAAACACCTTGAGATACTGGTTGGCGACCCCCCCCCAGGCCGACACCATCCAGTCGCACCCTCCAGATACTGCCATCAATTGGCTGCAGTCGGATGTGACATGGGCGCCCCCTTGAGAGAGAGTGTAATCCTTAATTTGGGGGATTGTGGGGGCTGTCACCCAGTTGTAGACTACTTTGGGAATGGGTCCACAGAAACCATATGAACGAGATTCAAGGGCTAAATTAATGGGAATGTTTTTACTGAATCATACAGCCAAGTCACACCATCACCGCCACATCCAGAACGGGCAGAATTTAAAGGTGTATCTCCTCAGTTTTTCTCTATCGCGCCTCCACATTCCACATTCATAATAAAAGTCGGTTTCGAAATAAATGTCGGAAAACTCACGCTACAAATGCAAAGATTACGTGAATTTTCTTTCCTAAGCCAGGAAAGACGCCAGGATCCCATAATGGATGATTAATTACAAAATGTAATTTTAACAGTGTCCAAAGAACAGCATTTCAAACTATGTATGTCTCGCCCCGTGACAAGGGACATAGTGGCCTATCTTACCCAGATAGGGCTGTTGTGTATGCAGGTTTTCACTTCATTTACTAATAGATTACTAATTAGAGGACTGATTGGCAGAAAAGTCCTCACACCTGGGTTTGAACAGACGGCCTAAAGGTTATCCCAAAAACCTGCATACACACCGGCCCTTTGCGGGTAAGATTGCCCACCCTCTACGAGATGAAACAGTAACAGAAAAGGGGAGTAGGGTCGCTTCACGGTACACTTCTGCCATCTGGTGAAAGAAATATTTATTCAGATTCCTTAAAATAAGCGCCTTAGACAAATATGGATTGAAAGGCGTATAAAATATTCAAAACTAATTTAACAACACAAAAAACTACAAAAATGTACACCACACATTAATAGTTGTAAACTATTGACAAAATAGCGGGGTAAAAAGAAATCAAGCAACTTAATTATTAGACAATCACATACATGTATACACACACACATATATATGAAAGATCCCTTTTAATTCTCAACAATGTAATAAAAACGAATTAAAAGCTAAGTAAAAGCTAACACACGCTAGCCAACCTTGCTTAACTCTTACAAGACGGTTAGTCCAAACCCGGGGCTAATATTCCATTTTAAAACGTTAAAAAACTGCAAATATACATGGCCCTTTGTAACGGTGTGGTCAAGATTATTTGATAGTTCAATCCATGATCGGCAGGAAAAAAAGAAAATTAGATAGACCTACCTGGAGCGGATGAGAGTCAAAACAACCTCGGTGCCTTAGTATTACAGCGCCATCATGTGGCATCACTGCGTATGAACTATGAATATGGCGCAAACCGCCCCCTAAAATAATGCAACGAAGCCATGGACCCTTTTAAAGATTTTACAAAAGATATAACAACTAATAATAAGCCATTTGATTGTAGGAGCCTTTATTTGGAAAAACCATAGGACACACAAAAAAAATGCAAATTAAGAAACTGCGACATTAACGTTTGGGCTCCCGCATCGGTGGTAGCCGGAATCCAATCAGGAGACATTATCAGTCATAAAGTAATAGCGGAGCTTTTCAACAACGCAGGATAATAGGAATTTACAGTGGCGCTAAGTGCTACTATTCAACTGTACAAATATGACGAACTAACCTCGCTGAGAACAAGCAACAATCAGCATGTAAAGTACGGTAAATCCAGTTCCACACTTCAGGTGCATGGGCTGAATTATAATAAAGCATTTATAAAAGAACAATAATTTTCCCTCTTTTCATATGCAAACTAATAACATTTAAGTCGGAGCTGTAACTTGGATTAAAAACCTTATTTACGTCCCAGAATCCATTCCTGCGCTTAAGCCTGAAGCACCAGAACGATGTGGTACCAACCGGTACGTTCAATAATTATAATGGAAGACATTTCACAAGGATAAAACAGTGCATTCACTACATGAGACATGTTACTGATTTTTAAAAATTTTATTCATGAAATATAACTCCGATTCTATTGAGGGGCATACTCCATTAAGTGGTTGAATAATCAGGAAATATATAACACGCACGCACACGAAACGCAACTTAAAATGGACCGTTAAACGCAAAAACATTGTTGGCCTAATTTGCAAGCATATCACTCCGCTACTTCGCGGTAGCAACAGCCTCAACTTTTTATGTAGTTATAAATAGTTCAGCTACCACCGTCTTCTACAGCTGTGTGATGAAGATTCTTCATCTTAAAAAAAAACAAGCAAAACAAAAAGAAAAACCACATTTTTGGTGCTGCACCACCTAGTGGTGAATAATATTGTTTACACGTGAAAAAGAATTGAACATAATTTTTGCAGCGTTTTAGACGTTGAACTAAAATGGTATGTACTGTATGCTACAAACATATGTGTATGAATAACAAAGAATACTGAATCAGAAGCATACTGTATAGTTCAATTTGTGCTGGGGTGGTGTGTCTGCAACTGAAAGGGTACCAGTTCGAATCCTGTCCTCAGAAAAGCAGCCACGTCTCTGTTGGACCCCTACACGAGGTCCTTAACATCCTGAAAAATGTTCCAGGGCCGCTGGACAGCCAAGTCCAAGCTTCGCTCTCACCTCTGCATGTTATGTCTTAAAAAGGAGAGCAAGATATTGCATGCAGAAACAAACACATTCCGATGCACTTATTCTCATACCATTATACAAATGGCAAATAAAGCTTTTCACTAAAAATTAAACAATTCAATAACAACATAATAATAATTATAATAAATAAAACCAGCCAGGTATATATATTTTTTTTACTTTTATTGAACACAGGTATTTCTGACAGAATGCAAAGTCAAAATGTTTTCGGTTAGTACTCAGTATTTACACCAGTGACAGTGGAAAGAGAGGTGGTACCAATGTTTCACTTAGTAAAAATCTGTATATAAGAGAGAAGGCCCCAAAGCAGGGAATGCCGGGTAGGAATGACAATGGAGGATTCTGGGAAAGTGACACAGCCTTTTGTAGAGGGACAAGGCCTGTAACTCACAAAATGCACAGATTAATGAGACCAATTTGCTACCAAAACCCTTTCGGTTTACTATCAGAGAAGGTTCAACCATCCTAAAATATGCCCCGACATAACGGGCTTCATTCTAGAAGTTCCCTCATGGCACAATATACTGATTGAAAGATTCATGTAAACTCACAAAGAACTTGGTCCCACGTTTATGTCTGTTGAGTGAAAAAGGTCAATAACCACAGCAGCCTCCACCAAACATCAAAGAAACATCAGTCTTGCTTCTTTTGTGATCCTTTCATACGTGAGTGTCAGATGAGTCCCCCCCCCCACCCACCCCCCACTTTATTGTGAATGACATACATCCGCAGAGTAAAAGCACTTGATGCCAATTATGTAAAAATGTTCTGAACGGACAAGAGTATACAGAACACTTAATTAGCATACAACAAAGAAAGCCTTCGTGAGTTCAGATTCCATGAACTGTAGTTCGAACTCAACCTCAACATCAATGTTATAAATCTAGACCCAGGATTCAGTCTGTGTACTTATGCATGCTTGTTCAAATAATAACACAATATTTGTCTTCTTTTTTTTTTGGTGTTTTTATATATTTTCTTAAGTTTGGATCACTTGCATTTCTCTTGAAACTTTCCTGCACGTCTCGCCTGATGTATCGGACAGATGCGATGAGGGTCAAAGTCAGTGACCCCTCATGTTCAATTTTGCAGGCTGTTAATTTAAGGCTGGGATGAAGCTGCTCCCTCTGCCCTCTACAGATCCTGCTGTTTAACAATGCTCCTGTTTTTGTATTGTTTTGCTTGTTTGTTTGCATAATGTATAGGCGTACTTCAAGCAGTGCACACACCCCCGCTCTTTAAAGAAAAATGCCTCAGCCGTCATCCACTGAGTCTGTTATATGCAGAAACACATTGAGCCACGTGACATAACTGCTACTTACTCATTTACTCTCGTATTTTTTTTTTTCTCCCAGGATTCAATCTCATGAACAAGTAACGGCGCTAACCGACATCTCTGTGGGCCTTGGCGCTGAGTGACAGCGCCTGGCAGTGGGCGGGGACAGGAGAAACCCAGACTTCAGCCAATCTAAGCTTCCTCTCTGTTACAGGCGCAGAACGCATGCCAGGATCAACGTTTGTTTTTCTCTCTGAAGGCACCGTTTCTCCCTTTTTATCGTCTGTCGCTGTCATTTTTCATAGACCCATTTCGTCTCGAACTATCCGCTATACCGTTCACAACCAAACTATGCAGATTTTTTTTTTTTATTATTCTATGACAAAGAACACATTTTTTTTTTTTTAATTCACACTAGAATATTCACGCATTCACAGTGCACAAGCTTGCAGTCTAAAAGAATGAAAAACATCCTGTACAAAAGAAGGTCTGACTGGGCATTTTGTGTTTCCACGTCCACACCGGAGCACTATGGCTTAAATTATGAATTTGTTCAGGCATTTCTGCTCTTCACTATGCCTAAAGACAGGTTAATATCCTCCTAAGCACATTACTTTTTTCTATGCCTAACCGCTCTTCTTATTCACACTTCTGACGAGGGGGTCAAATCGAAGATACTGACTTTTGATCACTCATGTTAAACACCTCAGGACATAAAGCGAACAAATTTGGTCCATCTTAGCCATTCTGAGGTTTCTCCATGCTTGGTAAACAACTGGAGACTGGTTTCAGATGACTGTTCCTTGATGTGTGATGTGCTCAACCATAGCACTGTGGAGGAGGTGATACTCGGGGAACCCATCCACCTCTCCCCATTGGCTAATGGGTCACCATTCCTCACTTTTGTGCAGGCCAATAGCACATCACTGTCCCTACTCTCCCCACACACACCATTCTGAGGAACAGGTTAATTTTCTTGGTTTTTGGGAGGGGGGGGGGGATACAAGATAATCAATCGGCGTGGAGCAGGTTTTCCTACAACTGCCTGTATGAATTCGTCTTTTGGTACCGCAACCAGACTGCCAAACTCAGACTCTTTTAACTGCGTCATAATGCTGCGCCTTCACTTGTATTTTCGTGTTTGCATTAAATCAAGCCGTGTTCAAAAAGGGGAAGAAAGATTAAAGGTGTGTAAACATCTGAAAAGAAAAAAAAAACAGAAAAAAATGGAATACGGAAACCTCTTTTGGCCAAGCAAGCATGCTAATTCTATACTATATCCCTCAAAATAATGACGATTAAAAAAATATATAACATAAAAGGCAGTTATTTTTGCACATAATCTTTTAACACAAGAGAACATTAAAACAACTCATTAGCAGTGAAAATAACTGTGGCGATACAGCACATAATAGAACAGACATAATTAGAAATAGTGTGTGTGTGCACAACATAAAGGCGTTGTTATCGGATAAAGCTACATTTCCTCTCGGTAATCTACTCTGACTGACGGAGATGTTGTTCCACTTGAGAGAGATTACTCACACAATTTCCCCAAAAGAGTGCCCTTCAAGTTCAATTTTGTTTCCCTCCAATAAATCAAGATAGAACTTAAATACAAGATCTTGTTTTTTTTTTTACTTTGAATGTTAAAAAGTACGCTGAAAACAAAACACAAAACAAAACGCAAAACAAAATAAAAATGAACTTGGGGGGGGGGGGAAAGCATGTACACAAGATCTTATTCCATTCTACAGATCTACAAAGTCGTTGCTTGTTCTGAAAACTCATAAAAGACACTGAAGAAAGAAACCATTTGTAATCTCGTTTCAATGTTGTGGTGTGACGTCTTGAAGAGCTGTGACTGACGTGTTCCAGTTGGGCTCGATCATGCTTTGACCTCATCCCCGTTTGTTTGAGCGGCTTCGTTAGGGTCCGTCTTCACTTCCGACGGGGTTTTCTTAACATCTGTCTCCTCTGGTTTGCTTTTGTTGTCTGCTGGGACCATCTTCCTGTGGGGACAGACAGGCGCAGAAGCAGAATGGAGTGAGGAATCCCTCGAGGAAAAGCAGAACGTACTCTTTCTTCAGTGCGTGACATCAGACTTGCAGTACTGAGCACGTTTCTGAATCTGGGTAATGAAACATACCGCAGGGTAGCTATCTGTCACAGCTAAATGTGACCCCGACATCCGTTACCATTTTGCACAGAGAAAATGGACAGATAGGGGGATGAACAGGTGAAGAAGAGGTACGGCGTGAAACAGCATGCAGATGAGAAACAACCCAACCGGAGGAAGAATAACATGATGATGGAGGATGAGGCCCAGGAGGAGAGTACAAGCCCAGTTAGCAGGTCCCTGTTGGCTCTGCACACCGTATCTGCTGCTAGATGCACTGGATAAGGCTGCACCGACAACCAGAGTTAGGATTGTCCAGCCTAATTCATTCAGCCCCCCCAGCAAAATGCACTTTGCAAATTCCCCCCATTTTCTGCTACTCCGGCTGCACTGCTGCCAAGAGCAAAACCATTTGAGGAACCGCTGTGAGTTTGGCCTCAGGATAAGTTGGATAAAAAATTCTGGGAATAATTTAAGAGTCACAATGCACATGATATCGGAATACTGATTGGAACCCTCTCAGAGGAGGGGGAATTATCCGGTCTTTCTCAGCAACTCTGCTTTGACTACTGAGACCCTCACTCGACCTAAGACTCTGGGGTGTACCTGGACTCAGGGAGTATTTCAGAGGGGGGGGGGCGCGATCTGAGTTGTGGATTTAACAACAGGGTCTCGCATTTGTGCGTCACTCCCATACTCCGAGGGGCTTTTGGCGCTGAAGTCGGAACAGCCCGTCGCACGTCACTGGCCTGTGTGGATGATGCCTCCACTCGGCAAGCCGGTGAGTCCCGTTGCCTCATGGGCGCTGGAGCGGACGGGCAGCCCCCCCCCCCCCGAGTGTGGGCACGGCTCCCACTGTACCAAACAAGGCGGGTGACGCCGCCGAGACAGCACTGTGCACGCCGCCCACGGATTAACTCAGCATTTTTCTAAGAGACACATATTCAGGGTGAGGCTGTACCTTGGGCCTTGTATAAACAAAGCCGTTCCACAGTGTCATGAGTGAAGGCTGAAAAATCCCACCCAGTTTAGATTCTCAGCGGTAAACAGGCTGCAGAGTGCGTGTAGAAACACAACCCAGACAGCCTAAGGAGAACTGTGAAAATTCACATGGCGCTCGAGGATTACCGAGGTTTATAAGGCAATTGTTGAGTGAAGAAAGCAGGGCATCTTACCCTGAGTTTGCTAGAATTACCACAAGGGGGGGATGTTGCAGCCGAGCAACCTCACGTCGTCTTTGCCGTCGTCTGATGCAAAGATGGGCGGCTGCAAGCCTGACTCAGATTTGTTTTGATTATTATCAGTTGATGCAATTATGTGAATCGGTGTCTGTAAATTTCCCACAGTATGTGTGTGAGTATTTGTGCTATGGTGGACTGGAACCCTGTTCAGGGTGTCCCCTGTCTTGCTCCCTGTGCATCCTGGGATAGCTTTTGGACTACAAACCTGTACTCGATATGCAGTCATAGAATTTGTATAAAGGCAGGGATGGGTATATAAGAGGCATAATTAAGTATATACACCTGTTCATTAACTGATTAAAATCAGATAAATAAAATGTCACTGCAGACTGTCAACAAATTAGGCATTTTCGAGATTTTCCAGAAAGAAGCATTTGTCATTGTTTGAAAGCATTTGCTAATAGAAAGCCAGATGTTTATGTACAAACCCAGTTGATGCTGGGCACATCACTGACAGACTGGGAGGATCTTGCACACAGTGCTGTCACAGCTGAGATGAAAATGTATCAGGCATAAGTTTAGACACTTGCACTACAGCGTCTGAAAAGATCTTCGACGGAAATCGAACACGAAACTGTCAAATGCACTATGGATGAATTTCAGTCTGTAACTGCAAGCAATGTTTTAGGCACGAATTAGAAATGTTTCTGCCGTTAAGTTCAAGGCGAGTCATCAGCCAGATCTTGGATCCCTCACCAGATCGGGAAGAAGCACTGTGACAGATGTTAAGCGTCACCAGGCGATCAGAGGCTGCTGTTGTGTGTCAGCCGCTGGGTGATTGGATGCAATCACATCAGATGGCTAAATCAAGAGCATAAATCGTTTTTGTAAAGCCTGCTGAATATAAGATGCATCAGAAGGAAGCAGGGAAGTAGGGATGCAGAGACAAGGGTGTGAAACGTGGCATCCGATGATGACTGAATAGATTCCCTTCCCTGGTTCTTTCCGAGCAGAGTCATGCGTTCCAGCTTACAAAACTTGTGAGGCAATGCGAGCCGGGAGAGGTGGAGAGAAAGCGATGTTCCCCGAGTTATTGTAAGGTGTGAGGTACCTGGTAAATATTTTACAGCTCCCTACGGAAGCCTTTGGAGATGTGTCGGTATCCAGCAACTTTGCGAATGCTGAAGGGCCAATGGAAAGCAAGACTTGTGGGATGTGATTTTGTCTTGGGGAAGATGCAACTCAAAGGCTCTGAAATATTTAAGAAGCTTCCTTCTTCTCCAGGGGTTGGGCGAGAGTCATGGTGTGATTTTAATCTTGACTCCCTTGGACTCACCACCCTTCTGCAGCCTTTTCAAGGCAGTTCCGATCCAGACTATCAGCTCTGAATTTATAGCTATACACTTAAAAAATATATATGATAAAATCAAAAAGTGGGTAAAAAAACGTGAAAGAGGCACCTGGAAATCTGATCTGTTCAATCTGCAATCAGTCCTGGAGGCCATTTTCTGGAGGCCACCAGAGAATCCACTCCCATCTGAAGGAATGTCACGGCTAAACTGATTTAATATGGTCCCGTTCCGTATTTAACCAGGCTTGGACTATGTTTCGTGGTTTGGTTTGCGGGGAAACGCCGCACAATGACAGAGGCTCCCTGGAGATTTACGTTTGAGTATCCAAGCAAACAGAATGAAGTAGGAGGCATGCTAGGCTAACAAAAAGCTGGTCAGAACTGGTGCGTTAAGCTGAAACAACCCTAACACAATGCTAAACATAGCTTTCTTCTCATGAAGGAATGCTTACCCTGCATCCGTCTATAAAGCCGCCTCATTCCATAATAGCACTCCATCTTCTCTTTCTCCTTTTTTGTTTAATCATGTCTATTTACTTGCAATGAAATTGTTTTTAAAACAACTAAGTGTGCACTTCTGGTTTCAATTTGCTCAGTGAAATTGTGAGGCAGCCTGACTCAGGTCCTCAGCGATGTTAAATTCGAACGACTTGGGAACTAGAATTTATTTAATGGGATTAATTCATCATGTCAATTGATTGACCTCCGGGCTAATGGTTCATCCCTGGCCAATTACAGCGAAACGGGATCTTAAAAAAAAAAACAAAAAAAACAATAAACAACCCATGAATCTCAGCGAAACACTATGTCTGCTGATGCACCTATAACCACGTTTAAACCATAACGTGAAGAAACTTTAGCGTTTGAAACTATAGCAGCCGCATGGAAGACACTCATCATGATTAGCATCTTGTCAAACCAAGATAGGCAGAGAACGTATCCTGGAAGACCTGGATATCAAGATGTGCAAGGAGCATTCCCTGTCAGAGGAGGACATCGAGATGCCCAGGGAACATCTCGTGGAAGAATAGGACATCAAGATGGGTAGGGAATGTCCCTTCCCCTACATCTACAGGCTAGTGAGACCCATAAGACCATACAGTCTTACCGTTTCCTTCAGTTCCTTCCTGATGGGGTCCCATCTATGCCTGGTCCTCACCAGTGTGTGTGTTCATGAGGGAAATGGGGAGGGCTGAGCTACAGCAGAGTGACTGGTGTGGTGCCCGTTATAAAGTGGTAGAGTTAGTGTGAGAGCATGCATGTGGCAGGACAGGAAACACGCAGATGTCACACACACACACACACACGGGTTAGACACACACAGAGGAGACGTAAAGGAAGCCATACTCGTCCAGAGCTGCTGTGGGGACGGCGCTGGAGTCTGCAGGGGGCCCGGGGGGCTTGCCCAGAGCATCAAACACATCCTTGGCAAGGTCAGTATCTGAGGGCTGGAGGGGTCCTCCGTCTATCTGAAAGTCTTGGTGCTGAGAGGGCTTGACCGCATTGTCGGGGGCTGTGGCATTTGGGACTGGCACTGGGGGGCTTTTCGGATCACTACGTGGTGGCTCGCTCCCGGGGGGCTTTGGGGCTTCAGCTTTGGTAGGCTGCGTGGCGGGGGCGGGGCTGGGTTCGGATGCAGGGGTGTGGTTCCCCACGGCGTCGGCAGTTTCCGTGCCGCCGGGCGCCTTGGTTACAGGGGCGTCGCTCAGGTCGACCAGGGGGGCCACCTTAGGGGCAGCTTCAGCGGGGGTGGCGGTGGGTGGGGCGGGAGCAGCCGTGCTAGACTTGGGGGTACTGGATTGGGGGACTGGGGGGGTGGCTTTGGCGTCGGCAGCAGGGGGCGCAGCGGCGGTGCTGGAGGTGAGCGTGGTGGACTCACTAGCGGGGCTGTTCTGAGTCGTGACAGAGTCAGAGTTAGTGGTGACAGAAGGGAGCAAGTCCACCACTGTGGCAGTGGCGTCAGCTGCCAGCCTGCAGGAACAGGGCAGAAGAGAGAGACACGATGTAGAGCCAGTGAGAGCGAGGGAGGGAGAAGGAGGGATAGAAATAGAGAGAGAGAGAGAGAGAGAGAGAAGGTTGGGGGCCAGAGCGTGACATGTTGTTACAGAAGCACCAGCCACAGGAAGATCCCCCCGGTTAGCAGAATTAGAGGAGTTAACAGAGGAGCAGTAAACAGAGCAGTAGAAGCTAGATTACATTTATGCAAATGCCGTGCTGACAGAAGCCCACTGCAGGGCTCAAATCACGAAAAAAAAAAAAATCCAATTTCCCTCTAGTCGTTGGAAGACCAAGCAGAATAAACCTCAGTGCCGCAAGGAAACACAAAAACATACTGCTCCGAGTCCAGACGGACACGCACTTCTTGTTTCCCAGGCCGTCGGGAGGAGAGCGAGAGCGGAGGAAGCGGTGCAGGCCAGCTGCAGGCGACGGGACCGGCTTGGCGTTTTCCCGCGCCAGTGACCCGCGGCCCGTGTCTACTACCCATAATTCAATGGCCCCCATTTCACAGTAGCTAACCATAGGCATAATCCCAACTGCCCGATCTGAAATTGCTTACAGAATATACTACACACATAAAAATATAGTATTAAAATGAACCATTGGTGAAATTCACACGTGCTCACAATTTAATTACTGCTCATTATTATTCCTGCTTGGGTATAAATGGGTCCTCTGAGTGGGTAATGCCGATTTGTAGAAACACGGCTGCATACTGGCGATACAAACCTCTGCCTTCCATAGTGATGCTGCCAATCCCAGAATTATTCTCTCTGCCAATAGGCTATTTTAAACAGAGGTTACAGTCAGGGTGGGTGACTTACTCAGGTTCTGTCAGGGGAGTGGTCTCGTTGGGTTCCACCTGGCCCCCTCCTTCGTGGTTGGGTGTGCGCTCCTCCTCGGTCCTCACCTCCACGATGGGCTCCTTTGACTCGTCCTTCCTGCGAAGGGAGCGGCAAAGTCATTTTTGGTAAACCCCCATCCGTGGCCAGTTGCCAGTCGCATGATGCTGGGAATGTGGCACCGCAGATGTGATGTCAGAATGTGGGTTTACCCCTTGTCGTTGTGGGGACTGTGAGTGGGTTAGGGCTACACTGATGAGTATTCCTACACTCCTAAGCCAAGATCTGCAGTGTGAAGCTGTGTGCTGAGGGAACACCAATGCTACTTAGCACTGAAAGCTGCAGCTTCACATTCAGAGGCTCAGCTGACAACTTCACCCAGAAGCAACTCATATTTTCAGTTTCTATTTTCCCTCAAGAGACTCAGGTTAAGTAGCTTAGCGCAAGGCATGTCAAACAGTGACCTTCAGATCAGAAGCGCACATCCTTCACCCCTTGTAGCATTTCGCCAAGGTCTCCATGCAGTACCTTCCAAACGGGAGCAGGATCCCTGCTGTTGTCTGCGTTTGTGAAACTCTGGAGAAGTTCACTGAGGCCCACTCACGTAAAAGCGGCCTTCCCCTCCTCGATGTCCTTGTTCTTGGAGCTGGGGCCCGGCTTGCCGCAGAAGTTGACGGCGATGCACATGAGAAGGCCACACTTGTTGAGGAAGTAGCACGTGATGTCTACAGCCACCAGCAGCAGCAGGAAGATGACGACGAGGATGCCCACGATGGCACCTGTGCTCAGGCTGGAGCCGTTGATCATGGGGTCTTCAGGACGAGGGGGAAGGGAGCGACACAGAGGACAGCATTGAGTGGGTTATAAAGGACCGCCAGTAAAGATCAGGATGAGTCTCACACAACATCACACTCAAATTCATTACTCAAGCAGAACATCGAGTATAAAAAGCACTTTGCTGGAGATAATTTTACCTTTTCACACCAAGATCATCCTGGAGAGAAAATCTTTGCAGAAAACTGATTTTTAATCAAATCACAAATTACAATTTTTACGTAATGGGTCTTTTTTCGTTAAGCAGAAAACAATGTGTATTTAAAAAGTTTACTTGCCTCAACAATACTTGACTGGTGGAGTACAGAGTACAAAATACATAAAAAATAATACAAAACAAAGGTTTATTTTTTTGGGCAGACAAAAACACAACATACTTACCAGGAATAAACAAGTTCATATTCATGGGAATATGATAATTGCTACTTGCGGTCTATTTGTAACTAATGCATAACTAGTTTCTCTTTAATTAGTTTTGCGACCAAAATTTTAGTAATGCCTAAGACACAAATGAAAAAGCAACTAAAACATAAATGTTATAAACGAAAAAATAAAAAATAAAAAAGGCCAGACAAAGATGAGTCCATTCCACTCATTATACAATGTAATTTCCTGTCGAATCAACCTGAACTTTTGTTGTATTATATTTATGTTAATATTTCACTCGGTGCTTTAGTTGTGACTCTTCAAATAACCTCTGAATTTCACTAAGAGCTGCTGAAACAGGACACTGCAGAAAACCGTATGTTCAGGTTCATTTGACTGACAATTACTCATAACACAAAACACACAAATACTACAAACTTTGGTGATTCTCAAATTTTAATGTCACAGGTTAGATGACAAATTTGTTATTCTCAGTACTTCAATTGTTTTCGGTGTCAAACTTCAAACTAAGGTGATGTTAAAAAGGACATTTAAAAGGTATTTGATTCATTATTCTTTCCTCTAAAACTATACAGGTTCTCAGCAAAAACCTTGATTTGGAATTTCTTCATAGTCCTGGGAGGTCTGGCGTATCTTAGCAACATATCAAATGCATATAATTGTACAGAAAGAAACCAAAAGAACATTTTAGCAAATCCAAACAGCACAAGTGTATGAAATTACACATTTTTACACACATAATACATTGGTGACAGGAAGACCTTGATTAAAATTCAGTATTGGCTCCACCTGTTGTTGCAGTTCCACCTGATGCAATATCTTTAGCACGAGGATCTATGTGCAAATACAGTGTAACGCTCACTGGGGGCTTGTGTAATCTAACTTTATTATAAGTAGCAGCCTGTATACAATATAATGAAGAAATCTAGACCGACAGAATGAAGGTACAAAGTCTTGCCAGCGTACAAAAAGCTAGTGTCCTTGCCCCCGTTTGGGGAAGTTGAGACTCAATTTATGAGGGAGCTCTTTGTGAAGGGGTCAGCCAACTTGAAGAAATGGGCCCTTAACTGTTACCTGATCTGTAGCTACTGAGGTCTAAGCCCCTTCCCAGCACAGAAGGTGCTAATACACCTGGCTGTGTAAGATTGGGGTGGGAAGAGCGGTGGCAGCAGTGGTGCTTGGAAAAGGTCTTTTCCAAAGCAATGTTGGACGGGAGCGAAGAAAGCAGGTCTGCTGAGTGGATGTGACTTCCTGCTTGACAGGAAGTGACAAGTAATTACTGCGGACTAGGGATCTGTAGCAAGCAACTGGCTACTCGTTAAGGCATATTTTAACACCCTTAAACTTCACTTCTTAGTTTCTTACTATGCTCTGATCTCCTGTATGGTCTCAGAGATGAATGATGACAGTTTCGCCCGCCAAGCCCACATACGTGCAGGCACGTAACATTAAAGTACAGTCTGGCTCTCTTTAAGCCATCGTGTCCTGCCCTCCTAAGCCCTTTTTCTATGCCCCCGTGGGGCCTCAAATAGTCATATCAGCTCTAGGGATCTTCCACAGGAACACGCACTCCTGTCCGAAGCCTTACGGGCATTTGTGTGCGCCGCGCTTCACCTTGCGGAGCAAATATCCGAAAGCAGAGTAACAGGGGCTCTCGCAGTGTCAGCATCACCTTCAAACCGCGTCAGGGCTTCTGGCATGACATTTTTAAAATCTGCTGACAGCAGCCAGATCGCAGAGAGCAGGACTGTAACGTTCTCAGAACTGTCACAGATGAAAAATAGTTTTATCTTAGCTCTAGGCTTTACTCTCCCCTTACATTGAAAAGCACCGATTTTAACTATCGTTTTTCATCACCAGCAAGCATGAATAATATTCTTAGTAAGGTCTGGAACAGGCATAATTTCAGTACTATTTTTGTCGTTATTGTTTAGTTATTAATCAGTATATTACATTTTGAAATTATTACAAAAACAACATACTTTTTTTTCCCTTGTCACTTCTGTACGCCTTCATCTGTCACCTTAAGCAGGTACTGTACTATCAGCGGGAGACAGCAGAGAGCCCACTGGGGCTCGTACATCCACCGTGTTACGCCGAGTTGTGCTAAACTGTGAAGTACCAAACGTGTTTCTCTCCGTCACTGTTTATTGGTCAGGCCTTCGGCAGGTCAGCCGCACCCTGGCTGATGGGAGTCAAGTCACAATGGGAACGTCGTGGATATGTTTACAAAAAACACGGCCACCCACATGAAAGAACATCCAGACAATAGGCCGGCAACCATGGCACCATTGCGTGGATACACGCCTTGCTCTTGTAATGAGCTTGTCGCATTTTTGACCACAAATATTATTCACAGTACGCTATGTCTGTACCCTTTTCCCCATTCGAGTCGAGCAGTTTCCCCACACTGTGCTCCTCTCCTGATTCCAATTTCCATTCCGTATGATCAGAAAAGCAGCTGATTGGTGAAATGGTACAGAGTACGGAGGCACTGGAAATCGTGTCAGACACTGGAGTCTCATGTGACACAAAGTGCATTTGAATAAAAGAAAAACCCAAATTTGAACTGAAATGATTTAATTGGCACATGCAAAGTTGGGGGGGTTTGGTGCTGCTCCACTCCAATTAAAAACATAGGAGGGGGTGGTAAACGGCACTGTATATGGTATGGTATGGGAGGGGTGGGGGGCATTCCAACTGGGTGGTAGCTCGTGCAGTCTAAAATATTCATACACCCAATTCCTGCGTGGGGCCCCCACAGCACACCAGCTCACCACAAAATCAGCAGGATAGCAGGAATCGAGAGGGGGAAGCCAGGTTGCTTTCAATGTTTACATTTCACAGAATAAGCGGTAAATACAGATTTGTTTGCACGCACCTGCATTTCAGAGTTGGAAATTCACAGTTACTATTATGTCCAAAAGAAAAAAAAAACACATCACTATATTATTATGGTTCCTTAAAACCCACAATATTTACTTCATGAGATCATAGCATAGGTACAAAAATCATGTTACAGGGTGTCGTCAAATTACAATATTCAGACTTTTCGGCACGTATCCCTTTTGTTAGACAGTCATAGCATTTAGCGTTGAACACATAATTTTTAAGCAAAAAATGAAGGGAGCAAAGGAAGATGCCAGATTAGTGTTGGAAAGAAAATAACCTATAACAATTATATACATTTGTCACAACATAATTAGTATCCTCTCTCGCGTCGCTGAAGACTACAGTCCGGTTTTCATGCTTTAGCACGTTAGCACTGTGGCTAGCAGAGGGCCATGGGAAGAGGACATGGAATCGAAAACCCTTAATGAGCGCGAGTCTCCTGTAGACGTAAAACCCGTCCGCTTGGGGTTGCACAGGCCCTGCGCTCTTCCTCAGATCGTCAAATGATCAGACTGATTATATTCCAACAAATTAGTACCGAGAGTGCCTTTCCTAGCTGTGGGGGAGGGGGGGCAGCAGCTTTGTTTACAGGGGATTTTAAAATGCCAACTAAAAAAATAAAATAAAATAAACATCCAGAACGATTAGGGACCAAGCACGCTACCTCGACCATTTCGACATAAATTCATATTGCTTTTTTTTCACTTTTGCACTGGGATCGAAGGTATAAAAGCAAACGGCCAGCCAGGATGTGAGAGGGCAGATTTTTCTCCTCCTGGCAGGGGGGTGGGTGGGGGGGCAGAGACGGTTTATAAGAGCAGGAGCACAGTCAGCGTGGAGAGGGTGAGCGAGAGGAGGGTGTAGGACACAGAGGAGCAACCCAGGGTGGCTGGGATCACGGACGGGACACGACACAGACAGATCACACGTGAAGGGGAGCCACAGTCAAGGGACAGGAAGCGTGTGTGTGTGTGTGTGTGTGTGTGAGTGTGTGTGTGTGCGCGCGCGTGAGTGTGTTTCACACATAAAATCAATGTAAACATAAAAAAAGGAAACCGTATACATGACAATGGGATGGTCCAGTAGTTTCCACGATCCCACAGGAAGGGGGGAGGGGTGGGAAAAATGGGGAAGAAACAAGGGAAGAGGGAGAGAGAGAGAAAGAGAGAGAGAAAGATAGAAAAATAGGTCAAAAATACCGAAACGTAAGCTTTAAAGGTAAATCGAAAGCAAACCAAAAAAGGAAAGAGGGATTCAAGCAAGTTAGAAAAAATAAAAACCCAAGCGGTCTTCAATGAGAGAGTAAGGAGAAGCGACGTAAAATAAGCACAGTGGGTTAGGGTGCTGGGGATGAGGCCAGTGTAGCAGGCCGAGATGGAAAGGGCTGAAACAGTCAACGATGCTGGATTATGGTAAATATGCACAGGAAGACACTCAACAGCAAAGCAGGACAAGTTCCCTGGCAGATCAACCAGCATTTAGGCTCATCCTTTAGTCAGTGTAACTCCAATATCGGCCACTTTAGAGAGCACTAAAGATACAAAGTATCTGGATAATTAAATCAAACACTCAAGCGTGGTCAAAAGTAAGATCAGATCAATAGAAGTTGGAAACTTTGTGGCTCTTCACATATTTAAATGATGTTTGTTGTTCTAAGCTATACACAGCAGGGAATCATGCCCACAAAAAGCTGGTTAAGGTGTAATCTCTGCAGCGATGATATGGTGAGTGAGTAAACAGATGAAGAGGTGAACTTGTGCCACTAAGATATGCATCTAATTAATTGGCTATTTTTGAGAAAAGCTTTGTTTAGTTACCTTAGCTGGGGAGATTTGGATTGGACAGTATGCCTGCCATGTCTTCTAGACCAGTTTAAATGACTACCAATGCTCTATTCTTGCTACGGGATGTCCCCCCCCCCCCACCCCCAACAACAGTTGTTCATATTTTGCGAGTCGCTTTCTCCAAATCCCAGCCTTCCTTCACTTTGCATTCAGAGACTCGCATTTTTCTACATAGAAAACTTTTGCTTTTCGAAGTAACTGATGTGGTACAAAAAGTACATTATGCGCACGTCAAAGGAAAAATAATGACAGTATTAATACACACATTGCGTGTCGGCATCTGTGTTTCACCTCAAACGATGCCGCCGGACAGAAAGCCGATAATAAAACTCTGCTGCTGTTTTTTGGATCGTCTTTGCAGATGTTGCAGACGAGTTGTAACAGATGTAACAGCGAAAGCCAGCGTTGCGGAATGGGGGGGGGGG